ATATACGTTTAAAATAGGAGGATATATAGGTATTACTAAAACTATAGTATAAATATAATAGTACTACAACTTTCTAAAAATAAAAACCGAAATAGTCCGAATATTATAGGCCTATAAGCGTTATAATAAAACTAAGGTTGTAAAATATAAACTATATAGATTTTTCAAACCCCTAAAAGTTGTAAAAAGGCTATAGAATTCAATAATTATAAATTTTATTACTAAATTACTACCGTTTATAAATACTATAATAGGAATTACCTATAATAGTATTTTAATAGTAGTAAATAGGCTAACTAAATAGAGTTACTTCCTACTATATAAAGAAATATAATTAATACAATAATTTGTAAACGTAATCTATCGGAATACTACTTTAATATACAATTAACCGAAGGAATAGATTACAAATAGGAATACTAAATTTGTATCCAAATTTTAATAAATATTAATAATTAAACTCGGTACTAAAAGTAAAATATTAATAATATATTACCTACAAATAAATAAATAAACGGAAAGGATTAACTAAATTATAAAATAATATTTAAGGAATTATATTAACTTCGAATAAAATAATTAAATAGAACTCCTACCTATAATGTAATTAATATATAATACCTCTCCTACAGAAACTACAAAGGTTTTACCTTTCTTTATAAATTATAAGTATAAATTAGAATTTTTAGAAGGATTAAATACGAACGTCCCTAGGGCTTCGGTTAAGGCCGGAAAATTGTATATATTATATAAGAAATTTAAAAAAGAATTAAAATTCGTTTAATAAAAAATAAGCCGGTATTTTAATTTAAAAAGGTTCGAGGAACTTCTCTTTAAGGAAGGGGATAAAGTCCTTTTATTAATTAAAAACCTTAAAATAAAGAGGCCTAATAAGAAATTCAATAACCGACGAATAGGACTATTTAAAATTAAGAAAAAGATCTCTAATATAGTATATCAATTAGATATTCCTAATATTATAAAATTAAAATTATATTTATTCTATATCGTATTATTAGAACCAGTACTTAAGAATATACGAATTAATATATATATTAGTATTAAGAATAAAGAGGAAGAATAGAATATAGAATAAATTTTGGATTCGAAAATAGAAAAAAGAGAATTAAAATACTTTATTAAATAGGAACACTTTAGTCCCGAAAATAATACTTAAAAACCCATTAAAAATTTAAATTGCCCTAAGAAATTAGAAGAATTCTATTAGAGGAACTTAAACTAATTAGGGATAAAAGGTTACCTAATTAAGAAGGAAGGAAAGTTAAAACGTTTATTAAAGACTAATTAAACCCGAATATAATTATAAAAAAAGTAATAACTTCCGCCGCTTAATTCCTAAATAGAATACTAATTTACTATTTAATATACTCCTTAACCTCTAACGCCTCCAATTCCTTTATACTTAATATAATTAACTCTTAATTTTATTTAATTAAACGCTCCCATTCCTATTCTAATTAATTTAATTAAAACGCCTATTCCTTAAATAATTTTATTAACTCTTAAATATTCTTCAAAACTTTAAATTTTTATTTAAATACCTATAAATACTCTACAGATATATAAGCTACTAGTATTAATATTAGTATTACAAATATTAAAGGAAGGTAAGGAAAATAAATATTCCGTATTAATATTTATAACTTTATAAGGATAAATACTATAAATACACTCTCTATACTTTCTGTAACGAGGAAATCTCTTATATATTAAGAAATATTATTAATAACGAATATAGGGTATAATAATCGACCCGAACTATTCAATATAAATTAATAACGCTTAATATATCTTTAAAAGGACGCTTCTCAACCCGAAAGGATATAATAGAAAAATAACGCGAGGGAACTTATAATATAAAACATAAAAGGGAGTAAATTAAGAATTAACTATAAATAATATAGGAATAAATTAGTAAAGCCATCGAAGACGTCGGTTAAAGAGGGGAAATATTATATTACAAACTTAAATAATAATATAGGCTAACTAAACTATTAGTAACGCAACAACTACAGAAAGGCTAGGTAGTATAATTATAATACTATTAGAAACTAAAGCTAAAACTAGGAAGGGCTCAAACTAATATTAGGAGCTTATAAGCTTATAATAAGCTTATAAGCCTACAATGAGCTTATAAGCCCGGAACGGGACTATAAGCCCTATACACATCTATAGTAGACGTTAGGATATAAAGACGATTAAAGAACTTAAATTATTAAATAATTCAATAGTAGTCAACCGTATAATAGATTATTAGCACCGAGACTAATATCACACACGCATACTTATTATAAACCTTTTAACTTCACCGAACAGCACTAATAGTCTTATACCTTCAGCTATCTCACTTAGGCAGATCAGACCGCCGTTCGTCACACGTTATTATCCAAATTCAGGACCGTTAGCGGGGGATTTATAAGGTTAAGACCGGGGGTAAGATAGTTATTACTATTATCAAAAGGCTAAACCTACTTCTTTTTAATATAATAATTTACGTTCTTTATAACGTACTATATATAGAGTTAGTATAGTACATTTAGGTAAATAGTAATAGTGGCCTTTTTAAATCCCTCATTAAAATCAGTAATAAGTATTATAGGATTAGAAATTTCGTAATCCTCTTAAAACTTCTTCAAGTAATTAAATTACTAATAGAAGTCTTCCTATCTCTCTCTATTTAAGAGACTAAAGCTAATATTAAAATTACAATCTAGTGTATTAATGTTAGTAATATTAAGAAGAGGGAGGTTAAAGCAATTAATTTATAAGAAAAAAAAAGGGGTTAGTTTTAGACTCTAAATAATTAATAAGGGTAATAATACCTTATATATATTATTAACCAATAGTATATAGGGTTTTTTTTTCTATATTTCAATATATTAATTAAAAGTCTAAAATATATATATAACCCGCTACTTATCATAATTAATAGAGTACTTAATACTATAAAGATTCTTATACTACCCTAGTAAATCGATAAGTATTTTAATTGAGGAGTAAGGGCTGTACTTTGTATAGTAGATATACTATTGAATATTTAATACTTCCTTAATTATAATAGAAATTCGAAGACTATATAGTTCTAATACTGAATTATTATAATTAGTACGCTATATAGTAATTAAATTATCCTCTTTGGGATTTAGAATACTATTTAAATAATAAGTAATCTAATAGGTAGTTATTTTAGTAATACTAAATAACCATTCAATAGCAATATTAATAGCTTCTTTATAGTTACGGCGAACCTATTATTGGTAAATAATATTACTGGCAAGGTTAGTAATATTAAGGTTATAGTTATAGTAATTCTTAGTCTCTTTGATGAACTACTAATTACTTTACTTCTTCCTTAATACGACTTTTGCCTAATATAGGTAATTAAATTGCTTCAAACTAGTATTTTGAACGCTTTATCTAGTAGTCTTATAAACGCAGCCGTATATATAATAATAATCAACCCATTTAAGAACTCCCTCCTTCCCCTTTTTTTTACTCTTTAACTAGGTATATAATACAACCGTAAAGCCTTATTATACGTAGTAATCTTATAGTATATTAAAGGCGGCGATTAGATTATTATAGTTAAAAGAGGTGAATAATAGCCGGATTGGCTTTTTAACGTACTTATTGGGGGACGGTGACTATATTTTTAATTTCGATTGTTAGTAGGGACGGTAGTAGATTAATAACGATTGGATTTCGGTAACAGGAGTTGTACTCCGGTCGGGAGTAACTAGTCGAGACGGATTGGAGGTTATTTTGGTAGGTAAATCTATTAAATTGTAGTTAGATATATTCGTTGTAGTCAGGGAGGGAGGCAATTTGATTTACTTAAGCGAATATACGATTTGCGGTAGATAGGCAGGCGGGCGGGCAGGCGATATTAATTAATATTATACAATACTACGGGGTCAATAATACTCTACAAAATAATAATAAAGACAATGAGATAATCACTATAAAAGATTAATAAATAATAGAGTACTATCTCGCAATACCCTTATTCAATTATACAACGCTAATTATTACTAACAGAGTACGCGCGACGACGGTAGCGGTTGGGTAGCAATGCGCTGGTGTGGTATGTGTGTGTGGTGGCTGGCTGGCCGCGCTTACTTAGTGATAATATGTAGGGGGGCTTTCCAGGGAGCATTTCGGGGTTCTCCAGCTAGCCTTTTCGTTCACCGACGAGGTGTCGTGGGTGAGGAAGCGAAGGAGAACGTCGGCGCAGTGCAGTGCTGTGGGTGCTCCTGGACAGTGTCGGACAGTGTTTGCACTGTGATGGGCTTTTTTCTCTTTTTCTTTTCTCGGGGCTTCTTCCTAATTCTGATAGGCTCGTACCAGCCTGGATCAGCGCCGCCGTTCTGTTCCCCAGAGACACCTTGCGAACCTCTCTTGACTCTCTCGTTACTGAAGGACGCATTGCGAGACTGCAGCAACACAGCGAAGGAACTCTCAAGACTTGGCCTTCGCTGCACTGCAGTTCATCAGCATTGTGGTTGATTGATCCCTGTCCGCTTACTCCACCCCGCAAAAAAAGAGAGGAAGGTCCACTCGTACACTCCAAACGTTTTGCACGTTCATTTGGCGACCCCGACACAACGGCATTGGGACTCCAGTATCTGCAACAAGGAAGAAAAAAAAGAGAAAAACCGATTGGATTGGAGATCCCTCGGTTGAAGTTATTGGAGATCGATTGGAGACAAGCGGGAGGGGCAAGGGCAAGATCCGCCGTTTTCTTCTATTCTTGTTCCCGCTAATCAACCATTATCGCCGCTTGCCCACCTCGTCACCCTTCGGCTCTCTTTAATCCTACTACCAAGACCTGTCCTGATAGCCGTCTTGACTTCTCTTCAACCACCACAAACCGCTGCAAACCGACACTGCGGCCCGACCCAGGGGCCTGCCTGGCCGACAACCCGACATCATCACTACCATCGGCCTCGGGTCGCATTGACTTCATTGCGCCCCTAACCATGGCCCAGTACGCCGCCTCGGCCGCTCAACAAGCCGCTGCTGGCCATCAGTCTCTTTCGCCGCTATCGCCGTCCGCCTCCGTTTCCGCCTCAGTCGGAACTGCTCCGCCATTGACTCCATCCGGCACCGCTCCGGCCGGCACTGCTGCAGCTGCGGGTCCCGCTCCGTCTGCCGCCACGGCCCAGAGTGGGGCCGGATCTTCTTCCGCCTCCCAACCTCAGGACAAGCCCCGGTCCCAGTCGCAGTCCGGTGCCGGCCCTTCTGCCGCTGGCGGTGGTGCCTCTTCTGCTGCAGGAACCCAACACAAGCGGGTGTATCAAGCATGTATTCCCTGTCGCCGTCGCAAGGTCCGGTGTGATCTAGGGTCCGTCGATAACCCTAGTGATCCGCCATGTGTCCGCTGCCGGCGCGAGAGCAAGGAATGCTACTTCAGCGCAACCCGCCGTAAGCGCAAGTTGGACGATGACATGACTGACATCTTTGATGATCCCGACCATGATGACTACATTCTCCGCAACGGCAGGAAGCAGCTACGCAGTGGTGAAAGTCCGGTCATGGCTGCCCCTCTTGATCGCCGTCTCTACAGCGATGTCCCTCTCACTCCTGGGGGTAGTCGGGGTCGGGCACAACCGTTGAGGAGACCCGGAGATGGCGGCCCCAACAGCACTACGAGCACTGGAGGTGCTCGGAGTACTACCGGCGGCGAGTTTGGCGCTGGTGAGGCCAACACTCCCTTGGAGAACCTTGAGGCCAGAACAGTTATGCGCAGGGAGGTCTACGGTCCACATGACGCTCTAGACTTGTTGTACAAGGCGGCGACCGACAAGTTAGTTGATACCCGTAGTGATCGGTCACAGAGACTGCCATATGCTGATGTCGCGCGCTTGCGTAGCCCGATGCATAGGCAGGACGGAGAGTCTACTGCCGCCGGGGGCTCTTCGCGGACCAATCATCATGCTGGTCGCCCTGGTCTGAACTCCCGTCACTCATCTCACCACAATGACCGTCCGGGTTACCACTCTCGTCACGCTTCAAGACAGGAAGCGCCCACCGAATCTATCGACCCGGAACTCACCAAGCGTGACATATCACAGGAGCCGGGCTACAACGAGGCACTGAAAGCATGGGCGCGCTTTCGGTTCGTGCGGGCTGGGTGGTTTACTGCGCAGGAGGCGATTGATTACATAGAATAGTAGGTTGCTGCCTTCTACATGTTGTTCTTGTGCTAAGCTAACATGGCCACCTAGCTACTATGCATATCTTTCACCACTCACGCCTATATCACCTCCTACGTTCCGGAATCCAGCTTCGCACCTCACGTTGTTGACTGAGGAACCCATCTTGACAGTGACGCTCCTCACTATTGCGTCAAGGTATCGCCGCATGCCAGGAACCGGAGGCCACTGTCGATCACACGCCATCCACGAACAGCTATGGACCTACCTCCGAGGCATGATCGAGCGCGTGGTCTGGGGTCAGGAGGCATTTGGTGGTGGCTTTTGTGGCTCGGGTGCGGACGAATCGCAGAGTTCTAGCACGGCACCATGGAGGGGTCTTCGCCGCGGCAGTCTCAGAACATTCGGCACAATTGAGTCCCTTATGATCCTGACGGAGTGGCATCCACGAGCCCTCCACTTCCCGCCGAGCGAGGCCATTGACGAGTTGCTTTTACCCTCGTATGAGCACAATTCTGCGGATGACGACAACAACCAAAAACCTTCAGCTGGGATTGGCGGCAGGAGAATAGAGAGCTGGCTGGAGCCTGCCTGGCGAAGTGACCGTATGTGCTGGATGCTGCTGAGCACCGCTTTGGGCTTGGCGTACGAGCTCGGAGTTTTTGACGACATCGACGAGCTGCTCGCAACCGGATCCATAACTCGGCCGGAATATGAAGATGAATCGTATCGCCTTAGAGCCCATCGCATCAAGAGATTACTCCTGATTTACCTGAGCCAGCTTGCTGGCCGGCTCAACTGGACAAACATGGTCCCTGAGAACATGCGTAACGATCCTATCATGTCACGAAGGCGACCTCACTCGGGAGAAGGCACAACTCCGGGAACCAATCCTTCGTCCACGTCCAACGGGTTTGTGTACATCCCCGACCTCGAGCTAGACGACCAGATTATCCTCTGCTGGGCAGGTGTTAGCAATGTGATGCATAGGGGCAACGAGAAACTCTTCCGGTCTCGCAACTACACCACCGATATCATCCAGAGCGGAAAGTACATACAACTGTTGAAGGAGTTCCAGCCTCTGTTGAGGAATTGGTGGAACGACTTCAACCGATTTGTTTTGCCACCATATATCCGGCACATCCTAACCATCGAGTATGAATACGTCCGAATCTACGTCAACTCGCTTGCTTTGCAGGCTGTCGTTGAGCGGTGTACCAACAATCCCAACGTTGGAGGCGGAGGCTCAGCCAACGGTGGAAGCGTCTCGGGACACTCTGCTCCGCAACTGTCACCGCAGACGCAGAACTATCTCGGAAAGCTGCCGCTCAGTCAGCTTGGTGGGTTCGGGGCTGAAGACGAGGAGTATGTGAAAGAGGTTGTTAACGGCAGCCGAAACCTGCTTCGAACCGTTGTCGATGGTCTCTTGCCCAAGGGTTACCTAAAGCACGCTCCTGTGCGGACCTACTTCCGCATCATCAGTGGTGCCATGTTTCTGCTCAAAACGTTTGCACTCGGTGCGCCCAAATCAGATGTCGAGTTGAGCATCAGCCTGATGGACCAGACGGTAGATGCTTTGAGGCACTGCGTTGTTGACGACGTTCATCTGGGAATACGCTTCGCAGATATGCTCGAAACTTTGACGAGCCGGCTACGCAACCGCTTTATTCACGCCCCGCCGCCGCCCGTTGCCACTACAGATGGTCGGTCTCCCAATCCAAATCACCAAGCTGATACTACCAACGGCAACGGTCCCATGCCCCATGGGGCTCCAAATCTTTCCTCGGGGGACGTCTGGTCCAAGCTGTCTGCTAATAATCTCGGTGAGTTATCCTGGCCTTCTCTTCTAAATTGCTTTCCAAGAAATTGAAACTAACAAGTCACCAAACAGAACGCGCCAATCCTACAAACAACATCTCCGCCACCCCCTGGGACGTCGCAGCTGGTGACTTTCCCTACCCCACCGGCTCGGCATCCATGTTCGGCCCATCTACGCCCGCCGCCACGTCTAACTTACCCGATACCAATGGCAACAGCAATGGCAACGGTGGTGGCGGCGGCGGCGGCGGTGGTGGTTTGACGGACAGCATGTTTGAGAACACGGATTGGGCCAACCCTAGCAACGAGATGTGGTACCTCCCCACCGGCCCGGCCTTTTTCCAAAATATCGACAATACGAGCGTGTCGATGACAGCTGAGGGTGTCAATGTGGGTGGTGTCGATTTGTTGGATTTTATGGCAATGGATCCGATGGATGGGGCTAGTTTTGTTCTCGACGGGGGGAGGTATCCTTGAGTGTTCGAGTTGAGTTTTGGGACAGAGGATCGATCTCTCTGTGAATTTGCGGCTGATGGTGGAAAAAAAAGATGGGAGCGAGGTGATTATCATTATCATCGTGGGAGATATATAAAGGAGAGGAAGGAGGATGGGACAAACCATGCTGAGAGAGCTAATGAGTTGCAGGTATGGTTGGAGAAGGCATCGTGATGGTTGCCAAAGTAATCTGAAAGTGCAACACGGACACCAAAAAAACAAAGGAAGGGAAATTTTGCTCATTTGGAGAGAAATAGGGACAGCGCGGTGTTTTTTCTTGTCTTTTCGTGTTTCTTCACACTAGAATAGGTGGCGTCGAAATCGGATATGGTAGGAGGGAGAGGAACGAGAATTGAATTCAATGGACGAACAGTACCAATCTATCATCAACTCAGATGTGCATACTTTTGTGGTGATGAAGTTCCAATGTCTTGTGCAGTAGTCGTTGAATTTGTTGTCAAGAGAATAACACAGTTTAGAGAGTATCTGTTCCCCATGTTAATGATGAAAAGAACAACTCGTCAATCGAGTTGCGGTCATTCCAGTGTCTCTATTCTTTCAATGTTAGATAGCCTGGTTTTCTCATTACCGGTTAGTGGTATACCTAGTGCTAGTAACTCGTGTTTATGAGAACGTTATCCGCCCTTCCCCCCCCC